CATCCAATCGGCTCCACCCGCCGCAGCGTGCAAAATTCTTAAGTGTCTCCTGTTATCGTCTGCGCAATCTCCTGGATGGGCGCAGATATCACCCTCCGGTCAACATGACTCCCTTTAAAAACGACCGTATATCGTGAATGTTTTCACTTAATTAGCAGTTCAGAGCAAAGAGCTGGACTGTGAAAATAATGTTGAGTCTGTATTTCTAGACATCAGCAAGCCAATGACCCGGTTAAACACCGATTGCGCCCTAAGATGTTTTGTGGATAGAATTCAGTCGAAAATGTGATCACCTGAATTAACTTCTGTATTATTGAACCTACGTACCTGTTCGAGCGGCTGCGTCAATCGATCTGCTAGATCCTAGTGTTCCTGCGGGCCCGTCCGTTTCCGAAACTTCATAACTGATTTGCTAGTGGTAGTTTCTAAAATTTGTGTAGTATTTGCCGGTGACAGCAAAATTTTAAGCCAAACATGTGAAAAGGCCGTTATTTAGTAAGATCGTGTTCGAGTATCTGTATGCATAAACCAGAAACTCCGGTTCTGCGTTAGTAATCCCGGGTAGGGGTGCGTTTACGCACGGTGTTGAGTGGCAACGTCTTACAAACTTGATCAACTGCCCACCTGCGGATTCTTCACCTATTCTAGTGCCATTGAAACCATCGCAGCGAAAGCTCGAACGCGACTTTTTCTCTCTTGTAGGCCTATTCATGTAATCAAAATCCTTCGCATTCTATAATCTAAGTTTGTAATACCACACCTCTTATCCTATTCCTCGACCAGTTCGTCGTATCTCAATGTAAGTGGTAGGTTCTGGAAATCAATTGTGATCAGGCAATTAATCTTATCCACCCCATTCGTATTCAGGGCATAGAGAAAGTGTTAAAAAGAATATACCTTCCCTCACCATACCAGAGACTAAAACATGCATATCCTGCTGAGATTTACAAAATAGTCCATTTAGTAAACCGTGTAGTGTTATTTGTTTAGAGCATAACTGCCCAACGGGAAGAAATATGTCAGATTTGGTCATCAGTTCCTCCGTAAAATTATATTAGCTTGTCATACTTTTAATTGCCTAGTCTATCTGATTTTCCTTCGCACTCGGCGCTGAATCTTATAATACTCTCTCAATGAATGACCCAGTCAGTATGCCCGTCGATTTCTTCCGAAGAAAATAGAAGGTACGTACTGCTTGCTTGAATGAAGCAACTTTTCGCTCAGAAAGCGAAAGTCATCATCTTGCGCTTGCCATGGTATAAAACGCTTGGTGGGCATCGTCCTTCGCAAAGGTCGACTTCTCAGGTAGAACCATGCTTTTTGACCGGGCAACTTTTCTGCCATTGTGTTTTTTTGTCACAAGCTAATGCATGAGCTAATTTTTTATTTAACCAGGGTCCAAACCTCTCACACCTGGAGAAGAAAATCGGTAAGGATCAGTTCCCTGCCAACGAACACTACTTTGGCCTCGTGAATGTAAGTCAAGTCTTTTCCTTAAGTATGCTCTCCCTTGCAGTTTGGAAACACCTGTTACTGCAACTCAGTTCTGCAAGCCCTCTTCTTCTGCAAACCCTTTCGTAATCGCGTCCTTCTTTATCGACAGCAGACAAAGGGCCAAAAGAAGGAGACTCTACTAAGTTGTCTTGCTGATCTCTTCTACACGGTTACAACAAAAAAGAAAAAAGTCGGTCAGATTCCCCCAAAAAAGTTTGTTCAGCGTCTGAAACGAGAAAACGGTTAGTCTATTGTGCCTATCTGATCTCATTCTTTTAGAACTTTTCGACAACTACTTGCCCCAAGATGCCCACGAATTTTTGAACTACCTGCTCAACGAAATTGCCGATATATTGTTGGGTAGGTGTTGCCCTTCGTTCTAACACGCCTCACTTGCTTGTAGCTGAACAGCAGGCTAGTGAAGAAGGGAATGCTAATAAGCAGACTGATTCCCGTTGCGTCGGTGGCGATAATCCAGTCCAGGCCAAGGACTCCTCAGCAGAGGCGAGTGGCGGTAAAAATAGTGGACAACAGCAACAGAAACGCACATGGATCCATGAAATTTTCCAGGGTACCTTAACCAACGAGACGCGCTGTCTCAACTGTGAAACAGTACGCACCAAAGATGAAGACTTTTTGGATCTTTCAGTTGATATTAAACAGTACACCAGCATCACCAATTGCCTCCAGTGCTTCTCCAATACGGAGACTATACAGTCCGAAAACAAGTACTACTGCGAAGTGTGCCGTTGTAAACAGGAGGCACAGAAGCGGTAAGTGTGTTATTTGAAGCTTTCCGTGACTATCAAATTATGCT